CAGCATGAACTGGCAGGGGGGTCCCAGCACTGGCAGCGCCCGGACAGAGGCCCCGGTGGTCCCGGCCATGGACATCCCGGCATCGGCAACGCGGAGGGGCCGGCACCGGCCACATGAACTGGCCAAGGAGATCCGAAACCGGCGGTCCCAACCATGGAGGTCCCGTCCCCAGCGGTCCCGTCCCTGGAGGTCTCATCCCTGGAGGTCCCGTCCCCAGATATTCCGTCCCCGGAGGTCCCGGCGGCTCCGTTCCCGGCTCCAGGACCCCGGCAGTGCCTCTTTCCAGACTCAGGGCGCCGCAGACCGATCAGACACTGGTCGTTTTTAATCCTGCATTTGTCAAAATGCACCAAATGCCCCAAACGGGAGCAGCGGGCAGGGGACGTGCAGCTCTGGGGACACCGGCTGCTCGGCTGCGTCCCTGCCCTGGGGACACGCGTACAGGAGAAACCATTTGCACAAAAGCAATAATAATGCCATTTTTCCCCCCTGATTTTACTGTGAAATTCCTCAATATTTTGTTCACTTCCCATTAACACTAACTGTCATAATTATGGTTTTTATTTGTATAGATTACAATATGTGTTAGAAAAGTATTTCATGTTAATATTTTGTGACAATGCTGTTTGTTATTACACCAGCTATAATTTATTCCATATGGTGATCTGAAAGTTTAATAAATTATAAAGGTAATGTGAATTTTCTTGTCTGGAATGCTCAATTCTCCCAGAGGAGTGGGGCCATTCCGCATGGATCCGGTGTGAATACCGGGTACCGCGGTGCCAACATGGAATTACATCCCTCGAGCCACAAAACTCCTGTCTTTCCCTCTTTTCAACTGCTAGTTTCTCCCATATAATAAAAGCCAACTATGTGCTTAGCAATACTGCAGGCACCATAATCAATTTAGGAAACAAATTATTCCCGGCAGCAGCGGGAATTACGGCTGCTCCGGAGCCCCCTCTGGCTCTGTCCTGCTGAGCAGCCCCATCACGACAGAGGATGCAGCAAATATTTAAAATAGCCAAACATAAAAATAGCAGAGAG